TTCAACGATAAGTTCATTTAATTGATGATAAATTCGAGGTAAGATTTTTTCGCATATTTTTGAAAGAATATTATCGTCTATTGAAAATCTACGATCATAATATGATCTTATGACCATGTTGATCGTATCAAGATTGTGAATATGAAGTGCATTAAATACTAATCGATTAAATCGTTCATTAACGTCTACAAGCGAATAGAGCGCATCGATTGTATTCAGTTTATTGAAAATGATCAGTAATATTTCATCGGGTAAATCGAGTATATTAAGATTATTCTTTTCGAAAATGTCCATGTCTGATTCTGATTCTGATTATCTTAGACCTCAATCAGACTGAGTTGCTTCAAAGTGAATTAACCAATATGATGACCATTGTTACGCGGAAGCACCAATCATGTTTCTTAATTCACTTGGAATTAAATCGTACTGAAAAGGTGAATGAACGTCGAAAATGAATTAAGCAATGGCATTGGTTAATTCATCTTCGACGTTAACCTCTTGACTACCACTGTCTGCAGGTTGAAGTCAAGCAGAAAGAAAGAATTCCTGACACCATTTCTAGTTAAATTTCGGTAAAACTTATATAATTTTGTAACTCAAACCTTTTTCTACAATCCTATACTAATCATTTTTAGAACTTCAGTTATATTCAAATACTATTTATTCTACAAAGAGCTCCAGAAAATAAACCGATGCCCATTTACCCCATTGGGCACTTACATATATATGCAACGGGGAAATAGCGTACTCCAGGACTCCAATCTTGTTTGGAGCCCAGCAATCCAAGCTATGATAAAATCTGCTGCTTATTGCCTTCAGCTATCGGAAATAAAAAACAGACTATGCATTAACTGTCGATTAAAAATTTCCTTTTTTTATCATCACAATCTTTTGTAAATGCTTCTTAGCGTCTGATAAAGTGTAAAAATATGAAAACAATTAACGAATGACAAATTTTTTAAAATAATAAGGAAATTGTAAAGTTAAAATAATCCAGCTTCATAAGAAGACTATATACTGTATGATATACTATGAAGGAAGTAAAACGAGAAGTATAAACAGGAAAATGTTCCTAACGTAAATATTATTGTCTTCTCGTTTTTTTACAACTTATTTCGTATTATAAGATGATTGTATTGAATGAAGCTTTCTTTTTGCTCTACTTTTACTTTTTAATAATGGCGAAAGTTGTTCACCACTTTCATGATCATCAGTTGTTATAGAGGTAGATGTAGAATTAAGTAATATCGCATTTGATGATGATTCGTGATCTGGTGCAGTATCTGATGATGTAAAAGATTGTTGAAATATCTGCAGTTATTGATGAAATCAGCTTACAATTTTTTATTAATTCTTTCATTTTATCACATGTATTATTATTACGAAAATCTTGTAAATACCTCTAAAAGTTTGATAGTTGAAATTTGCCACGATTATTTGTTAATGATATCCATTTGTTACAACAACATTTTATATTAGTTTTTAATACACCACTTGCATCATTTTATATGGAAATAGAGTAATGTTGATCTTCAATCAAGGACAAATTTGACAAATTAAGTATTGATTCACTATTTTTACACCAATTGTTCAATAATATTTATATAAGATTTATGTTCATCGAGTGATGAGTTTAAAAATTTTGATGTGACAACGTTTGATGAATTACTCGATAAAATCGCCATTGTTGATTCTGTGGTAGTTGAGGATGTGTTTATGGTTCTATCTAATGGTGACGATGATTGATTACGTTTTGAAAATTTTGTTAACTTTGCATCATCAGTACTTTTTTGTTTTAATAAATCAATAAGATAGTCCACATTTCCTTTTATACCAGTTTTTATAATGAATGTATCATCATCAAGCATAAAACCATGTTTATTTTTAAAACAATCTAAAGCTTTGCTTTTCAAATTCATAATACAATAAACATCAGCCGTCATCAACAAAGATTTAACACAATTGATAATTTGAATTTCAAAAAGATCAACAGCAGCATCGCCAGCTTCTTTTCGAACAAAATCAAAAAATTTAACGTCACGTAATGACATGATATCAGATGGCAAAATTGATGTATCAATAAGAGCTTCTGTTTGAAACATATTTTAATATTAACTATATTTGTATAAATAAAATTCTCTCTCTCGAGAGAGCAAGCGAGAAAGGTTTAATGATTCATAAATATTATGAGCCAATAACTTCTAAAGTGATGTTCTCTATACAAGCGTAGCTAGTACTTTTCAATTTTTTGTAACATTCCATCCTTTCAAATGATGGATGTTTTCTTCAGATTGCCGACATGTGACTCATCACAGTTGTTTATCAGCTGGAAGTGTTTGAAAAATATGTCAGATTTTTGTTTCCAAACTTATTATAAACTATTATGTCTGAACACATTTGGTTTTCTAGATA